CTTGACATTGATCCTCAAATCATACTGAAGGCTGCAGTCCTTGACCCTCTGCAGCAAGTGCTTCAGGTCCTCCTCAGTTTCAGCAAGCAGGGTTGTGTTATCTGCATAACGCAGATTGTTAATAGATCTTCCACCAATCCTGACGCCACACTTCTCCTCCTAGAGCCCAGCCTCTCGAATAATCTGTTCTGCATACAGGTTGAAAAGGTATGGAGATAGGACACATACCTGGTGTGCACCTTTCCCAATTTTGAACCATGCAGTGTTTCCCTTGCTCTGTTCTGACGACTGTCTCTTGGTCCAAGTATAGGTTTCACATTAGAACGATCAGTATAGTTAATAAATTTCACATTAAATTAGATACATATATTAAAATGCCTTATAGGGTGTCTACAATGTACTTAACTAGAGATTATTTAGAGGTTTTCAAGAGGTAGCAAATATCAGTAGTAGAACTACATACAAAGAGAAAATTAGAATAGAGGACAGTAGATCTATTAGAAAAAGAATAGGAACTCAGGGCTAATAAAGATTAAATATCCAATGAGAGCTGTCATTTTTTGTGTTTACATACTGGGTTGTGTGTGTGTGTGTGTGGGGTGTGTATGAATGTATGTGTGTTTGGCGTGCTAACCAAAAGGTTTATAGTCTGAACCCACCATCTACTCTGAGGAAAAGACTCGGAATCTATTCCCATAAAGATTTACAACTTCAAAACCCCCTGGAAGGCTGCCATGAGTTGGAATTGACTTGACAGCAGTGGGTTTTAGTTTTTATGCTAGTTCAGCACTGTGCTCAACAAATGGCAGCAGCTGCCTCAGGCTTGGCATTGTGCCCAAATTTTTCTGTACCTTGTCTTTATTCCTTATGGTAACCATACATGACCAGTGTTATCATCTCTACTTTATAGGTAAGGAAACTGAAATTCAGAGAGGTTAAATTTTTTGTAAAGTCACAAGAATAAAAAAAGTAGAAAAGCTAGGATTAAGGTTTGTTTGACACCATAAGTATATTAGTATATTCATCAGGCCACATGGACTCTTAGTGAATCACACATATCAGGACTTCAGAAAGCTGAGGTAAGAAAGGAGAGAGAAAGCAAACAGAATAAAACATTTTCTGTTCCTCTTGGAGATTTTAAAAGCTTTCCAGATTGCTGTCTTCTCTCATGTGACCTCCATTTTCAGCTGTTGTTTCTGTTTTGGTGTGGTGATTATGAGGTCCTCCTACCCCAAGAGTTTCAGGCAGCAAGCTGACTTGGAAACTTTTGCTTGTCTCTTATAATCATTCTTGTGCCAATTTTTTTGAGACTTGAGTTTCATCTTTCACATTTTTAAATCTTGAGAATATTGGGATTCTTTGATTCCCTATAACTTTTATCCTTTAGTTCTGAAAATTAGTATAAAAGCACAAAATAAGTCCAAATTGGAGGCCTCTGCTCAACACCAGGGTAAATGTTTTCTGATTTTACTGTTTTTGTTTTTCTACCTATTCTGACATTTGAGTGAGTTTTGAGAAAACGGCAACTTATATAGCTTTCTTTTTAAATTTAACTGTTTATTTTTTAAACTCTAGACAAAGTCAGGTTGCTTTTTTTAGGATAGTATTTGTGGCATTTATACTTCATTCATTTTATTTTTCTTTTCTTCCTTTTACAGGGCATTATGTGACACAAAGGATTGTGGGAAGCTTTCAAAGGATCAGTTTGCTTTGGCTTTTCACTTAATCAACCAAAAGTTAATAAAGGGTATTGATCCTCCTCAGAGCCTTACTCCTGAGATGATCCCACCATCAGACAGGGCCAATTTACAGAAGGTAAGATAACTTAAAAGAAATCATGAACGTATTATCAGAAGGCAATTACAAGTCCTGTGTCAGATGACAGACTTGATTTAAATGGAAGAGTGGAGAGAGTATAACTGGGTACAAACAGATCAATAATGCCACTTGTGGTTTACTTTGTGTTTATGAGTATGTTTGAATGTCTTGTATGACATCCTAGGGCTGCAGTTTATTTGCCCTACCATTCATTACACATCTGGCAACCATATTTCCAATCTTAAAATTAGAAAAATGTGGCCTTGTTTTTCACCCTCTTGAATTTTTAATTACTTTTTGTGATTAGAATATAAAAATTAAGTGAATACTATAAGAATAAACCCATATTGGTTCTTTTAATGATTTCTTCATAGTGAAAATGAGAAAAGTTAGGATGAATATGACTGCTTGCTGATAATTGTATGAAGCCCCCAAGAATAATCTTAAATGGGAGCCAGATCTGTAATTTTTGCTTTAGGTGACTATGTCTGAGCATGTAGCTGGACTTCATACTGAACAATTAGAAACAGGTTTTGTTGTTAGGTGCCTTCAAGTCAAATATGACCCATACCAACCCTGTGAATAACACATCAGAACCCTACCTGATCCTGTGCCATCCCCAAATTTCCTGCACACTAGAGCCCACTGTGGCAGTCACTGTGTCAGTCTGCCAGGTTGATGATTTTCCTCTTTTGCTGACCTTCCCCCTTTCTAAGCATGATGTCCCTCTCTAAGGAATAGCCCCTCCTAGCAGAATGCCTGAAGTATATGAGATGAAACTTGAACATCTTTAAAAAAACTCGCTGCATTTTCTCAAAGTCATAGATATTTTTTGTCAGTCTGTGGGATATTCAGTACTCTTCTTCAACATCACAGCTCAAAGGCACCAATAATTCTTATGTCATCATTATACCTTGTCCTGCTCTCCAGTACATAGCAAATGACCAGAAAGACCATTGCGTGAATCAGGCATCCCTTAGTCCTCAAACTGACATGACTACTCCTCAGTAATTTTGAAAGATCCCTGATGGCAGTGAGAATTCTCAAAACTACATTCTTTTATCCTTACTTTCTCCTAGAAAGAGGATTTTATCTAAAACGCCTCTATACTACATTTACAGTTTCTTGGCCATTAATAGAGCTTTCAGAATATGCGCATACTCTAGTGGCTATTTACCTTTAAAAGAAATGCTTCATAAAGGAGCTCTGGTGGCCTAGTGGCAAGAAGCTGCACTGCAATCCTAGAGGTATGTGGTTCGAATCCACTAGATGCTCTGCTGGAGAAGGAGGGTCAATCTCCTCCTGTACCAGTCAGATCTGATTTGACAGTACACACAAAAAATAATAAAATAAATCTTTTTTTTTTTTTTAAATGCTTCATGACAGTAAATCAAATGTGACCTTTTAATGGAAAGTTAATCCATTGTTGTGGTACTTCAGAGTTGCCTAAAGTTGTCAAATAAGTTGTTTGAAGAAAATGGTCTTTAAAATATCAGTAGAATATTTTCGTTTTGTGTTAATTTTGTCAAGGAAATTAAAAAACCGTATTGTAATAAATTTTTAAAAGGCTAACAATAGTAGATATTTTTCTAAGTGAAACAGAGTGAGCCTCTAAAGCCACTATGAGTAACAGAGTTCCTTAAAGGAGTTTTTGTCCTTTATTTTTAATAACATAAATATTTGATTACTTGTCCATACAGATAAAAGATGCCTTGTGGATTTATTTTTATTACCCCCTTACTTTTTACAGTAAAGAGTGTATTTTGTGAATTTTTTCAAGATTTCTTGTCATGGAAAACCTAGGTTTCTTAAGTGGTGGGGAAAGCTAAAAGGGATTCTGCCTAGAAATACAGAAGTTAGATTGTTATTTATACTTTCTTTTGTAACTGTATCTCGGTTGTACATTCCTAAATCACCAAGAGTGGTGTTTTCCGCCTTGCATTTACCTGTGTAAACTGTGTTTTTTCCCTTGCTGTCCTCATTTTGATAACCTGTTGCGTGCAACTCAGCCCCACAAACATACATTTCTGAAGCCAGTTATGTTTGATCACATTAGTAGATATTTTAAATTGTATCTGCTGTACAGGTTTTGATTAGTGCATTTGTCTAAAGTCCATTCGCTAGAGCATAGATAGCAGTATTTGTTTTAGATATCAATATTATTTATTAAATGTGATTTTATCACTGTTTGATCTATTAACAAAATTTTAACCTTAGATATTAAAATTTGCATTTATTTTGTCTTTCAGATAATCTTTCTCTTTATAATCTGATTTTTTTTTAAAGTACTGCATTTTTTGCAGCTTGACTAATCTTTTTTTGAATGTTGCTTTCCTTTCTGTGTTTTTTCTAGTTTGGACTATTTTTTCCATTCTGCAGCACTCTGCTTTTCGCCTTTCTTGTACTGTCAGTTTCTTAAAGCTACTCTCTCTCCAGGTTAGAGCTTTACTTTATGGCTTTTTTAGCGTTAATGGTTTTTGGTTCACAAGATACATTTTTAAATTAGAGGGTTTTTTAATGGAGGAAAATTGAACAGGGAAGAATACCTAAACACAAAATAGCATACTTTCGTCATGGGTTACTTGGACCTTGTGTGCATTGTAGTTTGCCTTTTCTAGACTCACTGATTCACTTAAAAAAATCACTAAAGCAAAGTTTTGTGTGTAGTACATAAAAAAGAGTAGTGGAAAAATATATTGAAAGAAAAGAATGTTCTACATGTTTCTTTAATGCCCTTTATTTACCCTTCATATACTCAGCAGAACATTTTCCATATTTCTTGATTGCATGCCATATTAATACTGTAGTGTGGGAGTTTAATTTCTGTGTCAGCGATTGAGAAATGACACAAGTTGTACCAACTACAGTGAACTAATTTTATGTATAGAGTAATCTGGAGTCTAATCATCTAACTTGTTTGAAATTAAGCTAATTTGCATCACTCTATCTTCTTATTTCATGATATTTTGAGTAATACAAGACTGTCAAATGTGAGTCACATTTTTTTAACTAAAGTGACAGAAGAGGTGTGGAAGTCATGAGTTTCTTAGCCCTCTTGCACCTCGGATAGCAAATTTCTCAGTAGCACTTACGTGGTGTAAGTTGATGAAAGTGAGACCAAGTTCTAATTTTTTTCATTTTCTTCACCCAGTTGTCTTGCCAGACTTAGCTTATGGGGAAAGTTTGAAAAAATAGTTGCTATTAAGTCAATTCCAGCATGTGACAACTTCAGATAGCCTTAAATTCTAGTGAATTTTTATCACATTCAGAAATTTAAGATTTCTAATTTAACATTGATAGAAGTATATATACCGGTGGCACAAAGTAAAATAGTAGGAAAGATTAATTTGCTGTAGATATGCAGTTAATATAAAAATGAGACTAGCAGGGAGCTCTCGTGGCCTAGTGGCAAGAACCTGCGCTGTAATCTCTAATTTGAATCCACCAGATGCTCCTCTAGAGGAGGGGCGATCTCCTCTAGAGCCACTTGGACCCAATTTGACGGTATAGAACAAGAGAGGTGGGAAATGAGAATAGCATGAATTACATACAAGAGTTTTAGTATTGCAAACGAAATAGCTCAGCACTTAGAACAGGATGGCATCAAGAAATACAAAAAGAATTATCAGATTTATTGATACACATGCTTATCAAGCTGAGTTTTAGGGTAATGGGTTCTTTTTTATTTATTTTTTTTTTTTAGGGTAATGGGTTCTAAATGCTACTGAAATGCAAGTGCAAGGAACATAATGTAGGACAGCATTTACATTTAAAATAAAAATAAAACCTTTTGTTAACTGGATTTCACTTTAAGCAAATAATTTTAATTTCTTTTTCATGTCTAAATGAGTAATATTATCTACCTTGCCTATAACCTATTTTTCAGATTAGCTTTGAGAACTGATAGATAGGTTGACAGTGCTTAATAAGTTAGTTGTAAATAAAAGTATGAAATGTGAGGAGATGCTAATTGTGAGCTTTTAGATTGCTTCTGTTGTGTGCATTGGCGATATAACTTCACAATAATACAAGTATTAAGATTAGATTTTACACTGTCCTGTTAATAATATCAGCAGTCAGTATGTCTTAATTTTGCATATTTAAATATCAATATCTCTGAATTGCTGTTTATTCTATTATTTCTCAAACTGTTTGTGGCATTGGATAGGTCAGATGTTTAAAAGAGCAGTTAGTTTTTTTGCTTCAACTTTAACCATATAGATAAATTGTATGTTAGCAGTGATTCACAAAGGAGATTAAGTCAGAGTGGAAACAATTCACTGGAAGGCCAGTCATCTTTTAAAAACATGACCTGTTGAAAAGGTTAATTATAATGAAACTTATATTTATGAGATATAATAAAGTTTGCCAAATAATTTCATGTATGTTATTTAACTTGTAAGATGGGCAGGGCAGAATTTGTTTCATTGTTTTACAGATGAAGCTCATGCAACTAGTATAATAGCAGAACCTAGGAAAAACTCACATTTTCTTACTATAAGTACTGTTTAGGGACTGGCTTTGGTGCATTGATTTTTTTCAAAAGGACATCATGCAGAAGACATTGAATATAGTAATATTAATATTTACCATGGAACATGCCTGAATAACTTTTACTTTAGACAGTAGGCACTAAAAATACTAAGTAAAAGTAATTGTTTCATTGGATAAATTACCATTATAATTCTGAGATTCAACAAAATTTGTGTATCTAGCTATTTATTGTCAGGTGATATAAATAAATAACCATCCATGATCTCAAAAAATTTGCACTATAGTGGAAGAACTGGTTTATCAGTCTGATACCTGTTTTATGGCAGTGTCTAGACGGGCTAGTATCAAGTGACAACAATATTGCAACCTTAGGAGAGGGTACATTTTATAGACAGTAGCTTTAAAATTAAGGGAAATTATGTTTTTTTCATAACTGTATATTAAGGGTATAGTTAATTAAATGAATGAAAATATTAGTATCCGGTACAGTATATACCTTATATATAGAACTTTTAACATTTGTAATATTTTGATATATAATACATAATTTTGTAGTAATAATGTATCATGATAAATTTTTTCTTTTAGAACATCATAGGATCAAGTCCTGTTGCAGATTTCTCTGCTATTAAGGAGCTAGATACCCTTAACAATGAAATAGTTGACCTACAGAGGTATGTAAATAAAATTATAGCTAATTTCATATGTATATTTATGTATACACAGTCTCTCATATACAGAAACAAATCATTCGTTTTTAATGTCTATTTTGGTAAATGCTACTTTTACTTTAAGAGAACTCTGTTGGTTTAGTGGGTAAAGAGTTGGGCTGCCAACCCAGAGGTAGGCTGTTCAAATTTACCACTTACTCCATGGGATAAAGATGCATAGTCTCCTCTCCTATGATTTACAACCTCTGAAAGCCACCGGAAGGTCAGTTATGAGTTTGTTCAAACTTGTTTGCAAACCACCATCATCAGTTAACCTTAAGAATCAATTAATGCAATGTGATAGCTCATATTTATTTTCCTTTGAATTTTTTTATTATTATTTTTATTATTTTTTGTGTGTTTGTGCCATCAAATCAGATCTGACTGGTACAGAAGGAGATTATCCCTTTCCTCAGCAGAGCTTCTGGTGGATTCGAACCACACACCTCTGGGATTGCAGTGCAGCTTCTTGCCACTAGGCCACCAGACCTCACCTATTTTCCTTTAAATGTTGACACCAAATGAAGTACATTAATGAATTAAGATCTATTCCTGACTTTTTAATTTCATGTTCCAATAGCATGTGCAAGAATTCTTTCTCTTATTCTAATCATCTTGAGATAGCTCACATCTCACTATTTGTGAGTTCACTACTGAGTCTTCCCAAAGTTTCCATCTCAGGTTTGGAGCTCCCCTTGATATTGAGACTTCCAACAATCTGTTGGCTACAAATTTGAGGGTTTCTCACTACTGTAAACTTTGGCTATATAACCTGCTATACTTGTCAAGTTCTTTCAGTTCCCCTCACTTCTGGTCTGCTGGCTCTCATCACTCCTTTTGTTTTAATAATTCGCTAGAACAACGTCTACAATTAAAAGAAGTGTTTAGTATACTATTACATTTTTATCTGTGCTGCAGTACCAAAGGCATGCTATTTGAATCCACCAGTTGTTCCACGGGAAAAGGATAGACAATCTTCTCCTGTGATTTACTGCTCTGAAAATCCACTGGAAAATCTGTTCTGGGTCTGTTCTGACTCATCAGCACATAACAACAACAGGATCCAAATGAAAAACACATAGGATCAGGTCTGGGAGGGTTCCTAGCACAGAACTTCCATGCCCTATTGAAAGAGACACAACTCCTTCAGATGCATCATCATTTGTAACATACCACGAAGCCCATGGAGTGTCTGTATCTAATGCCTTATATTGCTCTTACTACATTGGCATGATTGCTTGTACTTGACCTCTAGACTCTTTCATTGTAGTTAGACTAATCTCACACAATGGGTCTTTTTTATTTGGCCATCTCTTATCCAAGAGATCCTTTGGATTTGATCTGAAGTCCTTAACAAAAACTTGTACATCACTGGGAAAATTCTAAGGTTTTAGAGGTTACACTTGGGAACAAAGAATAAAGACCAAATTCTTTAAGTAAAGGTAATTTTGAGGATCAATGTAATTTATTTAAGGTTGTCATTATAGCATGTACTATTTTCTTATATGTCACTTACATATACATACTGCTATAAAAAACTCCAAATGCCTAGCATAGCTTAACAGACATACTTAAGGGTAGGTGGTGTGCAGTTAGCCGGAAATCCTCACCTTACAACATACTATTTTTTGGGAAAATTTAAGGAATCCTATGTCAAGGCTATAGTATATGTAATTTCATCTTTCCTGCATTGTTATGCATGTGAGTGCATTTGAGAAAAAATATGGTATGTAGAATAGAATTGAACACAATTAGATTTGAAATATGAGTACAACAGATATTTTCTTAATTCCCTCATTTCATGCAAATTTTACATCTTTAAAAGTGTTGTTAATGTGTCATAGAGTTGCTTGCAACTCATAACAACCCTGTGCACAGCAACTCTGAACCCTGGTCTATCCTGAGCCAACCTTATTGTCTCTTGACACACTTGCTGCCATTACCACAGTTACTGAGTCGATCCATCTCATTGAGGGTCTTCCTCTCTTAAACTGTCTCTCCACCCTCCCAAGCGTGATGTCTCTCTCCAAGGACTAGTCCTTCCTTGCAACATGCCCAAAGTATTTCAAACGGAGCTTCAAAATCTTTGCCTCCAAGGTGCAACCTGGTTTTTAAGGAAAAGAGGCTCCTTGGTGGCCTAGAGGCAAGAAGGTGTGCTGCAATATTGAAGGCATGCGGTTTAAGGCCACCAGCTGCTCTGCAGGATAATAGGCTCCTCCTGTGAATTTAACTGCTTCTGAAAACCTGTCAGAGGGTCAGCTATGGGTCAGTTCTGACTCTATTGTATACAACAACAACATTCTAAGAAGTGAATGAATCCCTGGTGTTATTGACCACTTTATAGGCGTGTCTGTTGTTTGTAGGCACCTTTTTTTTTAAAAAAAAATTATTTTATACTGGTTTACCTACAAAGTTGGTATACACTGTTTTTTACACCAGATCTTTCCCATTTCTTCTACCTACACACCCTCCACCCATCAAATTGTGCAACCCTGTGATTAACCATTCCCCCAACCTCACCCCATCCTTACCCCTCTGCTCCCACTCTCTTCCTCCTTGGATTCTCATATATGTTCCACAGTAATGGTCTTACACAGTATTTGTTCTCAAGGGACTTATTTCACTTAGCATAATGCTCTCTAGTGCCTCACAAAATAGGTAGTGATTTACAGATCATTGCTCCTGCCTGCTGTGTAGTATTCCATCATGTGAATGTACCATAATTTCTCAATCCATTCCATTGTTTTGGACATTTGGACTGTTTCCATGTTCTTGAGATGGTGACTAATGCTACTATGAACATTGGTGTACAAGTCTCCATTTGTGTATCAGTTCTCATTTTCTCAGGATATAGTCTAAGCAATGGAATAGCTGGGTTATATGGAATTTTTATGTTCTGCTTTCTGAGGAAATGCCACACTAGGCACATTATTTTAATGTCAGTTTTGTTTTGTTTTGAACTTATCCACCATGTGCTAAATGCTACTAAATTCTTACTAAAAATATTACATGTCTATTACATAAGACTTCTGATATTGTAACACCAAAAAACTCTTTTTGAGATCCTAATAGTCCAGTTTCTTACTTATTTGTGGAAAAAAAAAAATCCCAGGTATCCCATCAGGTAAGTAATAAAACTGGGACTCAACAGGTTGTATAAGTCCTAATTCAGTGATTGATTTTTTTACCCCATTGTACCTATCTGCCCCTTATTAAATCTAAAAATTTCTTTTACTTTGGTAAAATTAGAGAAATGAAGAGTTTTAAAAAGGTGTTTAAACTTCTAATTTTCATATTGCCCATAAACATTTTTGTTCGCCATGAATACTTGAATATAAATTGAATAGTAAATAGATTTCAGAATACTTGTTTTGTGTCTATCACATTTATGAAAATAAACGCATGTCAGTATTCTAATACTGTATTTTCACATAAAATATACCTAAGCAAAAAACAAATGTAGCGTGCATAATAAACTAATGGATGAGGGAGTTTAATAGTTTTCAAAAATGTATCACACACAATAGTTGTGTAAATATTTAATACTTGTGTAAGTGCAATAGCAGTTATGTAGCATAAATGTTTTTAGTGAGTTTTAATAGGAATTAGTGTATCATACATAAACATTTATACTATTAATGATATTTTGCTCTCTTCATGTGTAAAACACACTAACAATATAAAAAGAATGTTTATGACTATCTTATTAAGAAAATAATTTTTTAAAAAAAGAAAATTTTTCAGAACTTGTTCCTTTGTAGTCACATTTTATAAATGATTGATACATTTATACATAATTTTACATTTGTGAAAATATTTCCCCTAAGTTTTTATTGTAGGTGAGGTCTGCATAGTAGGCATACTTCCATCATCTGTCAGCTTTAGTAATGCCATGAAACTGTTCATCTATCCAAAAAACTAAAATATGCTTGTTAAAATTTAGTGTCGTTAGGTTACTATCATTAAGACTTCGGTGTATTACATTGTATGCTTTGCTTTTCGTTACTGTGGATATCTGTGTAAAAGTACTACACTTAATCCTTTAAATCTTTATTGATATGTTAGATATAGAGTTGCTGTGAGTTAAAAGTGACTCAACAGGAGTTGGTTATATACCCTAAAACAGAATTTAAATAGATTTTTTATTTTTCCAAGTTATTATCTTAATACTTTACCCCTAGGAACTCTGGTGGCCTAGAGGCAACAAGCTGAACTGCAGTCCCAGAGGTACATGGTTCACAACCACCAGAAGCTCTGCTGGAGAAGGAGGAGCATTCTCCTCCTGCACCAGTCAGATCTGATTTGACGGCGCGCGCACACACACACACACACACACACACGTAAAAAAAACCCAACTTTACCCCTTTTTTATTTTTTAGATGAAAATTCAATTTTAGTTGAGGTACTTGCATTTAAACAGCATGTATTATGTGGAATTCTAATGACTGTCCAATGAATTTGATGCTTTACAATATTTATTTTTATGGCTTCAGTGATATTTGTAGTACATACTAAAGAAATTTGGAAAATACAGAAAAACATAATTAGAGGATACGTTTCTTAGAATAATATTTTGCTTTAAGCATAGGAACTCTTTTATTTATACTGATTAGATAATGTGTTTTCATTTCTTTGACCCTGGAAACAAATACACTGTCACTGAAAGGTGTCAATAGTGACCCCCTTTAAAAGAGCATTAGAAATTCTATAAATAGTAGTATATTTATAAATACAAAAATTTTCCTAGTGGCAAGAAACTGCACTGCAGTCCCAGAGGTAGGTGGTTCGAATCCACCAGATGCTGTGCTGGAGAAGGAAGCACAGTCTCCTCCTGTACCAGTCAGATCTGATTTGATGGTATACACACAAAAAATACTAAAATAAAAAAAATTTCCAGACTTTGCTTCAACTTTCCTGTAAAGTTCATGATAGACTATAAATCATGTGGTAAATATTGAAAAAAA